TTATAATCTCCTGAAATAGACGACGAGAATTCGAGAAATCAACACATCTCAGCTAGATAGTTTCGGCCAAGACAATTTTCTTGCATCAATCGAATTTATCTGCTTGAAATATTCTCCACAGAACACCAGTAAGCATTCCTTATCGTCACTTTCAAATAACGATCTAACCTTTTCGAAATCTACGTCGTTCATTTCGATAATACTAAATAAATTGCTTGTAAAATTGTACAAAACTGCAATAAAGCTACCAAGTGCACAATGCTTCCAAATTGAAGATTAGATGGCCAATCAGAGGAGATGTTCTTTAACTCTTTTGCGCAAATTGTCCAATCAGAGGCTGTTATCTATTTGCAGAATTAGTCAAAATAGTCAAAATTTCGCAATCGTTAGTCAAAATAGGTCTGACCAATCAACATGTCTGTAATGTGTAATCTGAGCAAATTTGACCAATCAAATCACATGAACTAAAACGCAGAATAGTCAATTTTCATTTGAATACCGCTTATTTGACTTATCGTTTGACTAATCAATCGCTGGCTCAATGTGCAAAAACTGATCGAAGTTTATATGCTGAAGTGTGACAGAGTTTTGATTGCGTGATCAGAAATGAAGAGAAGTGTTTGCGCTGGGAAAAAATTCAAAAACCTTAGTCCAAATTTTTTTATAATGCCTTTTTTTTACGTTAGTCGCGTGACTAATCTGACTACCCCTAGATCCGCCCCTGGTCTAATACTAGACTATTTACTCATCAGGGGGAGAGTGCTGACACTCAATGGGTTAAAAAACATTGAAAGAAGATGTTTAGCAGAAGCTGAAAAATTGTTTATTGGTGTCTGGTGTAATACTGATATTTCTTTTATTTGTAAGGATAGAGCTGGGGAGCTTCTAATGGTACAGTCTTAGCCCTACCCCAGTTTTTCTGTAATGCATGTGTTTTTGTCACTTCCCTGATTATACCATAAGTATTGTATCCCATGGACACCATCTTATCAGTTCTGCAGTTTTTTGACAATCTATCGTAAACCTCCACCTAAAAGCACTGGGTTTATTTTCTTTCGTAAGCGATTTTTGATGGGCTTACTCAAGGGGGGAGGGGGGGGCTTATATTCAGAGGTTTATGGTATGTATGGTTTTCATGATTTTCAGTGTATAGTATTCCCTTGCTCATCACAAATTAATAAAAAGGTCACACTACATAATTAATGTTGATAAAATTTATTTATTTTAAAATCAAAAAAATATTAACATAATATTGCTGTACTTAATGATAATTAAAATGTTTTTAAAAATAAAATTTTATGCACACAATTTTAAAATATTGCACACATTCATTTCACCAGTACACATGGATGCTATATGATAAAGTATATGAAAGGTGATGCTTTTGCTCTAGCTTAATGATGTATTAAAACAATCTGGAGGTATTACATAATTGGTAAACCTCTTCAATCGTAATGATTTGCATGATTTTCTGCAACAGATATGAATTCGATGAATGCTTTATCTTCCTCAAATGTCCATTTATGAAGTTTAAATGGGAATTTCTTTGGAGGAGTCCTTTAATCTTTCTGATAAGGAACTACAAAACAAACAGCAAAAGTGAGAGGGGCAATGTTAGTGCCAGCACAATTAGACAACAACAAAGAAACTCATGGATTTTTACCAGGATTGTGTGCATGCTTCTCCAGGAAATTTGTGTACTATAGGTTTTCTGGAATGCCCAGCATTGAAAAATAATGTTGGCGTACGGGTGGATAGAAATTGCCCAACATTGTCATGAGTTTGTGAACAAGAGGTATAAAATAGAAGGAATACATCTCCTATACAGACTAGCAGAAATACTGTTTAAAGTCAATCTTAAAACAATTGCCCAATTTTTAAAGCAGAATTCTGCCCAACTAAACACTGACTGGAGGGGTTGCAACCCCCCCCCCAGCCTCATATGCCTATGGACAGAAATTCTCCCAGGCAAAAAAGCATTAAAATACAATGTTACTGTCACTATGATAATAACTCAAGCCCCCATTATTAACATATTGTTTCATTAAAAATATACAATGTTTTTGTGTAATCATACTGTATTTTTAATATGTTTGTAAAAAGATTTGTACTTTTAAATACACCTTGGCTTTGGACTCTGAAACAAAGTTCGGCTTGATGTTGAATTTTTCAAACGAGAAATTCTGTGTCTTTTATTATTAGGTTTCCCTGGGGGAAATATGTACGAACATATATGCGTATGTTTCAAAATTATCATGGAAAATAGTGTTTATAGTATAATAATTTCCTTCGCGCCATGATGATTATCAGGCGGTCTATTCCCGCCATCGGCGATAGAATATAGCAAAAGTACCCCATTTTCAAACCGCGATTACTTGTCGGTTTAGTGGAGAAAATTCATGTTTTAAAGTAACAGTAGATATTTGCTCCTGCATTATATCAAGGTCATTTTATTGGCGTGTCCACTGACCCAGAACAAGCATAATTACAATACGAAATTAGCATAACTAAAAAGCAATTCCTGTACCAAATAAGTCAAAAATAGTTTAATTAGGTTCTTAAATAATACAAATATAAAAACATACCTTCGAAAAAACGAGATATACAAAGCCAAAATCGCAATGTATTTCAACAATTTTTCGCCAAACGTTAGTTGAAAATCGTAATTGTGAATAATAATGAGACGCAATGCATTGTGGGAAGACCCTCATTCCTCCTCTGCATCCAGATATTCCAGAACCAACTGGATTGAGCATTTTTATAAAAGGTCTTGCAGAATTGGAAATTGATAAAAGTCTAATCGTAAATGAACATGTCCTTTCTGTGTTAGCCCACAAGTGGTCCCATCAAGGATACACAATCTGATGATGACGAATCTTGTAACAGTTGTAACAAAGATATATACATCTCCCATTTGAGTACGTGCCCCGTATGCACATGGACAGATTATTATCCGAATTGTAAAAGCTGTCGCTATATGATCTGCGATTTTCAAGTGTCCAAAGGAGATTTTACGCATGTAATCGCCAGCTGTCCACATTGTCGTCGAGGTGAAATTATAGATATCAGAACGGATGAAAGGCAGCCTTTTAACCATAAAATAGGCGACCAAAGTAATATTTGATTAGTTGACTGCGTGAAGTTGAACTGAACACATCAACATGCCGAGAGGTACACTTGTTGTAGACGAAAAACTACTGAGAGACCATTTCTTGAGACAGCAGCGTGGTGGAAACATCGCTGGGTATCGTGGTGCACGTTTTCAAAGAGGATACGGGATCGGAGGTCTTTTCAAGAGCCTTGCGAGATATGCTATTCCTCTGTTCAAACAAGGTGCTAAAGTAGTTGGTAAAAGAACATTGCAAGCAGCCACAGAAGTAGGTCAAGATATACTCCAAGGAAAAAATGTAAGAGAATCTGTAAAGACTCACGGAAGTGGCGTTTTTAAAGACTTTGCCGAATAAGGAGCAAAAGCCCTACTACAACAAGCAGGGCGCGGAAGCAAGAGAAGGCAAGGCCAACGAAGTAATTTATCAATTACAAAGAAGTTAAAACTGTGTTCTCATATAACAGTCCCAAGACATACCAAATGGATTACGGAAGATGAAAGCAGCCACGATGATGAAAGCAGCTATGATGAAGAATCTGATAGCGAAACCCCTGAAACAAGTGACGATATATATTAGAAGCATAATTTTGTAAAACGTTTTGAAGAAATAAATGTATTTAAAAACTGAAATATTGTGTAATATTTTGCCGGCAAAGCCCGCTCTTTCCGCCCGCCTGATTAGTGTACAAATATGTTGTACGTTAATATATGCATACACCCAAGCGTCGATAATGACATAACAACGTATTAACGATTACATGTTTTTATCGCAAAATATATTACAACTGTTCCAATTCTAACTTATATTCTTGATAAGCTTACTTATGATATGACTCGGTCATCTTAACAGTATATATATATATGTATGTAGAATACTTGCTAAAATAACGTTGAACAACATGTAAATATTGACATTAACAACGACGTTGACAACTCGGGATTAGGAACTGTTTAGTTTAAAATATCTCTTGATTTTTGTGACGAATAAATTCCTCTCTATGGAACATACGAAAAAATCCTTCAAATACTCGTGGAAATTTATCTCTTCCGAGCAAAGAGACGGCTATAACTGTGCTATATATTAATAATATTGACCTTAACAACGACGTTGACAACCTGGGATTAGCAACTGTTTAGTTCTGTTTAAAATATGTCTTGATTTTTGTGACGAATAGATTTCTCGCTTAAATTTCGTAAACATACGGAAAATCCTACCTGCCCGCGTTAATTGGACGCGCTACCTGTCACAGTTGGCCCAGGCCTGTCCGCGTTAATTGGTCGCGCTACCTGTCACAGTTGGCCCAGGCCTGCCCGCGTTAATTGGTCGCGCTACCTGGCGTTATAGATTTTGCATGCTCATTATAAAATCTGCCAGATTGTTAGCCGAACAAAGTGACGTCATAGTTTTGGAAGCTCATTATAAAATCCGCCAGATTGTTAGCCGAACAAAGTGACGTCATAGATTTTGCAAGCTCATTATAAAATCCGCCAGAGGGGGGGCTTCACTACTTACAATCAAACTTCGATTTAAGGTAAGTCTCGTTTAATTTTTAAATTCTATTTCGTCATTGTTCTACGTCACTAGAAAGTCACGTGAGACTTTAAAGCAATGTGGGCATGAACAGTAAACATACCAATAAGTTGTAATGATGTCATTCATATCATATATAAGTCTTACTAAAAGCCATAACAAGATTTTCCCCAAAAGTGCTACTTGAAGCAATAGGCTTACAATAAAACTTCTGAAATGTTTGTTCATTTGTCCACGCAGCTGCATTTATAATTGTTTGAATAGGAATGTTCATCGCTTTTGCTGCAGAGGTTGAAGCGGCTCGAGTACTGTGAGCACTATAGATATCAATATTTAAACCTGCTTCCTTCATGACGCTCTTGAGGCACCTTGCAAATGTGTCACAGGAAACTGAATGGTGAGGTTTTTGATAACTCAACAAAAGTTGTACTGAATTCTTCCGAATAGATTCGGTCTTCTTCAAATATTGATTTAAGCAACTAACAATACATAGGCGTGGATCCGAGGGATAAGCAGTAAATTCCTGACGACCCCAATGTTTTCCAGGTTTAGAAGTTTTTAGAAGTTGATTAACATAAAAAATGTATTTATTCTCTTGACGTTCCATGCTGGTTATACTTAAATCATGAAGTGTCCAGATAAAACGTTGTCCAGATAAAATAGCCAGCAACATAACAGTTTTAAGAGTAAGTTCTTTTAGATTAAGTTCTTCAACAGGGTGAAGAGTTCGTAGATAGTTAAACATAAGAGATATATCCCATAATTCTGTATAGCGAGGCAAAGCTGGTCGTGAAACAAAGACACCTTTTACGAACCTTGTGACAAGTGGATGATTACCAAAGGTGGTACCGCCAGGCACCAATATGATGGTAGATAAAGCACTTCTTGCAGTATTGATGGCGCTATAAGACAGTTCCTGGGTGTACAGTTCACTCAGAAAGTTTATTCCGTTTTCTACAGACGCTGAAATGGGATCAATACCCCTTGCACCACAGTACTGTCGCCAACGGTTGAGGTGTGTTGCATATTGTTTTTTGGTGCCTGTTCGCCATGAATGTTGGATAATGACTGAAGCTTGTGACGAAATTCCTCGCTCAGAAAGGAGTGCCCCGATAAATGGCAGAGCAACAGGTCTAGCTTGTTGTGTAGAGGGTGGATTTGCGTCGGATGAGCTGGCAAACTAATGTCGCGTTTCCCCTAGGTAGAATGATTGGGTGTGTAAGCAACAATTTCATGAGATACAGCCACCACTTTTGGGTAGGCCAGTAGGGCACTATGATTAAGCCAGTAGCTTTTTCCTCTACAATTTTTTATAGCAGTAAAAAGTGTATCCTGCCATGATAGAGAAAAAGCATTTACTGCCATAGCGTAAGGATCTGGCTGATACGAAATATATGGTTCAATTTGAAAGTTTAACCGTGACGCAAACAAATCAATGTTTGGTGTAACATCTATTTTCTGAATGGCGGCAAAATAAATACGCTTGTTTAATTGCCACTCAGTCTCTCTGCGGCTTACTCGAGATTCTCGATCCGCAGTTATATTTTCTATGCCTGGGATATGTGCCGCTGTTAGCCAAATATTGTGAGCGATACACCATTCCCATATGCGGCACGCAAGTCTGTAATTTGTGCGGGAATGACATGTACCCAACTGATTGATACCAGCAACAGCCGTGGTATTGTCAATTAGAACTTTAACATGTTTGCCTGAAATTTGTGAGGAAAATAACTTGAGTGCAAAGAAAACTGCAAGCATTTCTAAATAATTTATATGATGTTCTGCCTGTATTGGTGTCCAATTTTCATCGGCATTCACGTCATCAAGTGAACAACCCCATGCTGTTAAAGATGCATCGGTTGTAATACAGACTTGTGTTTCACCGTGACTAATGGGGTTATGAGCGGAAGGGATGGATGTATACCACCAGTTTAAATCATGTATTGCGTCTGGTGAAAGGGTCATTAGTTTGTCCAAATTACCCTTATTTAATTTTAGTGCATCAGTTTTATCGATCTCGAGCCAACGATAATGCAATTGCCCGTACATTACTCCGGGCAAACTGGCTGTAAATGTTCCTAACGCACGCGCGACGTCGCGAATTGACGGGCGTGGGTTTGCTAATAATTCTTGGCACATTTGCTTTACTTTTTGTGCCTTGTCAGCTGTCAAAGATATTTGCATTAACAACGAGTTAAGCAGGAAACCCAGAAATGTTATCGTCTGGGATGATATGAGAGCCACTTCTCAGGATGTATGTAAAACCCCACTTCACTCAATAAAGTGACAGTATCGCGGATATTATCAACACATGCGGCATAAGTATCGGAAGTCAGCCAAGAATCATCTATAAAAACAACGGAAATATGGCCGTTCTTGCGCAACTGCGAATAAACAGGCTTAAGTAATTTGGTAAACTTCCGAGGGCAGATAGCTAAGCCATTTGGGAAACAGACAAATCTGTATTGTTTCCCTTTCCAATTAAATTTGAGGTATTTTTGATGCTCTGGGTGAATAGGCACAGAATAATAAGCATTTTTCAAATCGATAGATGCCATATAACAATTTGGTTTCATTAACCGGATAGCTGACCAAATACTATCCATTTTAAAATGGTGATAAGTGACATGTTTGTTTAAAGATTTCAGGTTTAATATCATACGTTGCGAACCGTCTTGCTTTAAACGAGTAAATATAGGTGAGAAATATTCCCCTGGTTCAGGGTTTGACAATTTTAAAACGCCTTTACCTAATAATTTGTTAATTTCTAAATCAATATATGACTCCTCTAAATGGGATAACTTCATTTGAGTTGGTAGGCGTTGTTGTAAAGGAATAGTATCAAATTCAATTTTCTGACCGGAGACAGTTTCCAAAATTTCTGGGTCAGACGTTAACTTTTCCCAAACGCTAATACAAGTAGATAAACTACCTGCCTGATAGGTCGCAAGTTTCGCGTTAAAGTATGACAATAGCGTAGGGAGAAAAGAGTGGTACTGGCTCACCTGTAATGTCGTTAATTGTTCAAAAATGTTAAAGTTGGCTGATTCAGCTACTTGCGGTCCGGAATGTGGTCGGACGTCTTCTTGAAGTTCTTAGTCGGGTATTGGTTCGCTTTCCGATAAGGCATGTTGCCATGATGCCTGGCTAAAAAAGGACGCCATGGTTTATGACGCGGGTTTGAGTGCTTCGACTGCTGTTGCCAGGGGGTGTTTGAACTGGTAGCCGTATTTCCAATCTTATTTGAGGTGCGAATGTGGTTGATTTGGGTTTGTAGTTCATCACCAAACAAAAAACTCGTAATAGGAACGTGTGACGCACACAATGTTCTAAATTCGCGATGGAGGTGAGGCCGTATGGCATCGCGTCTTCGTTGGGACAGCTCAAAACTAATATGCCCCAAGAGGGCAATAACATCGGCGTTCATTCGAACTAAAGTATCGATATCAAGCTCGCTGGATTCAGCGCGCACAGCCAACAATGTATTTGTGGTTTGCGCTGTGATATGACCAACTTTGGTCAAAGCAGATTGGAGGGAGCTCAGTTGTAAATCACGCCCTCTTGTAGCGCGGTCAAGCATGCTCCAGATTTCTGGATTAACTTTTGGCACGATAACGCGTTCCAAATTTTAAGGGCGAAAGTATTTATTTTGCTTCTCTTTAAGCTGGTCATCTGTGAGCTTGTTCAACCACCGCTCGTTTATAATGTTGGCCAGCTTCGGCGCTATTTTAGGTGAGGTTTTCTCAGTTTCTTCGAGGGTTTGTGAAATCTCGTCAAGCAATGGATCTTCGTCTTCGGCGGTCGACCGTTTCTTTGTCTCTGGTCCGGCCGCTGTAGAGGTTAATAGCGATTCGCTATCGGACTCTTGGCCTGATTCAGGCTGCGAGTCCGTGATTTTTCTCTTCCGGGCAGATTCTACCCTGTTGGAAAGAGATTGTGACTGCATTTGTTGGAGTGATTCACTCATAGGAGTAATTGCCTGGCTCATGTTCGTTAAAGCTGCGGCGATTCCGTGATCGTTTGCGACCGTGGATGTATGTCGTCTTCTCAGTCGTCTTTCCCGGAGGAGCGAAGAGGCTCGTCTACTACGTCGTCTCGAACTTCTTCATTGTCTGCGGATGACGGAGAAGCCATGTTAAAAGAGTGAGGATAAATTTTGTGTGCAACTAATCGCTAGAGAAACTACGCTCGAACTGATTGCTCGATCTCGCGCGCTCTATCTCACGTGACTTTCTAGTGACGTAGAACAATGACGAAATAGAATTCTGCCTTACGGGGAAGCTTTTCAGTGTCTAAACATTAGTAGGCGCTTGAAAGTACTCGTACATGTACATTCATAAAAGGAAATTTGGGACCTTTCAGTTTAAAAGGGTTATTTCCCCACAGGTAATAGATATACACGAACTCCGCAGGGCTATATTTTCCTCATTTTAGAACTATTTCGCTACAAAACTTTGCAATTTATGAATTTTACCGTAATTTGAAGATGCTCTTTCTAGTTTCATGCCGGTATTAAATGGGGTTCATTCTTCGAAGACTGACTGTAAACTACAAACTTTTCATTTCGACACGATTTATGTTCTGAACAGTTTAATGAAGATAACAATATAACAATAACTAACAGTACTTTCTATACTTCAAATATTAAAGCAACAGCAACATTGTCATGTTTCGCTCGCTACTCTGGTTTAAATAAATAATTAAAAAGCCCAGTCGAATTGTAATCAAGACCCAACATTTCGACACTCCAGTCTATAGTGTCTTCGTCAGGGGTGATCTAAAATTGCAATCGTGGCTTCTTAAATACCCAAGGGATGACGTCACCTGCCAATGAGATGCATATATTCCCCTGGCAAATAGGCACCGTCATCCATATTCAAAGCATGATTACGCATATTTATATGCCACGCTTCTAGACAAAGTCTTTGACCATAGCGATTGTTTGTGGTAATTACTTTAGAGTTTTCCCACGCAATCTCGTGTTTGGTGTAACATACATGTTCGGCTAAAGCTGATTTTACCTTGTCTAAAGTTGAAACAGCCTTTTGATGTTCTTTTAGCCGTGTACCAATCTGGCGTTTAGACTGACCCAAATACTGTTTCTTGCAGTCACCGCATGGGATAGAATATGCAGCATATGTAAATTAATTACCACAAACAATCGCTATGGTCAAAGACTTTGCCTAGAAGCGTGGCATATAAATATGAGTAATCATGCTTTGAATAGGGATGACGGTGCCTATTTCCCAGAGGAATATATGCACCTCATTTCCAGGTGACCTCATCCCTTGGGTATTTAAGAGGCTGTCTCTGTAAAAACCGCCCGCTCGAATTTCATTTCAAACATGATCTTCGCTAAAACTCTGGCAACTGGAAGGCTTTACCAAACATAAAATAAAAACAGTTTCGGTTTGGTTGAAAACGATTTTCCAGTCGCGCTGCAAATAACGAAATATTTCCCCCTAGTCTAGGACCTGTATATGAGTTTGTATGCGATTCATTTAGGACAGGTAATCTCAACTGTTTTAGGGTAAAATGACCATGGCGGTCAACATGGCATATGTGCGAAAACCTGAATCCGGGGCGAAAGTCCTGAAAATGAC